AAGGCCAATAATTACCCTGGTTGGGGACTAGGTGACTCAGGTGGCTGGGAAATGTTTGTAGGATTTTTACTACATCTTTTCACCCAACTTCTTTTTGTGTTGGCTTCAACTTAGTCTCTTCATGTGTTGGAAGATGGGAACTTCACCATAGGGGCATCTGGGGGTTATGTTCCACCTACCCAGCAGTCCAGGAGAGAGACATACCAGACTAGTGAATATCCAGTGGATGTCCTTGATTTTGACAGATGGTGTGGGAGCGGTCTGCCTCCTCCTTAGCTGGCCTATAACAGGGCCTGCAGGACAGTTGCTGACCATCCTGCGTCTCTGCTCTTTGGAGTCAGGAGCTGGTGTCATTCAGCATCCCTGCAGCTGGGTGCACCCATCCCTACTTCCCATAGGATTTGGTGGTCGATGTTGCTCTAAGAAACATTTTCCAACAGTAATCCATAGCAAAGATGGGGATGGCTCTGTAAGTCCAAGCATTAAGTACAATTTACTTCATCATTCACTCACCATTTCTGTAAGCCACACATTCATTAAACATCCCAATTTGTGGGTTGGAGCTGAGGAGGCCCCATGGTGGAGTGAGACTCCTACGGAATGCATTGTATAAATGGATCTCAAGTGAAAATTTCTTAGTTTTTTCTCTCTTTTCTGGACACCAGCGTTCTTCATGATCTGTATCTTTAGAGCATCTTGAATTGTTACTAACATTAGGGGAACAAGAGAGAGCAGAGAGAAGTTGTAAACAAGGGAGACTAATGTCTTTTCAAAAATGCTCTAGGAGGGTGGGTCTTATTGGTGGTTTAGTTCCATCTCTAGATGAACTGATTGTTCATAAGATGAAGAAATAAAATGGTTTGCCTCCTGTGACAACTGTCAAGTATATGTTTTCCTCTGAGATTTGTTTTCCCTTTTTGTTTCGTAGGTCTATCTCCCCATGGTTGTGGCCGTGTCTGGAACTGCTGGTCCTCATGGTGAATACGTGGAGGGAGGACAGGATCCTGCCCAGCTTGGGTGCTAATGCCTGGCAAGTCCCCCTTCATCCACCCCACTGGCTTTCACCCTTACTATTTTCACACAGGTCTGCTTGGACGGAGAAAGCCACAGCTGGTGAGCCTTGGTTGGCTGAGCCATGTTCAAGACTTTGATTCTGTTTGTACATAAAAATGAGGTTTGATTGACATGGAAATGTCTGAGGGTGACAGTCATTGTCACTTCTTCCCTCCCCTTCCTTGGTTCTTTTGAAACTGGGAAACTTTTTCAAATGGAGCCTCTCTCGGAGGCAAATGGATGTCTTCTTTCCATATGGAGTAGACGTGGCTATTGTCATCCCTGGAGAAGGAACTGAGTGTGAAGCCCTCTCTATAC